TCCTGGGATCGAGTCCTGCATCGGGCTCCCTGCTCAGTGGGGAGTCTGCTTCTCCCTCTCCCGCTCCCCCCTCTTGTGTTCTCTCTCTCTCTCTCTCTCAAATAAATAAATAAAATCTTTAAAAAAAAGAAAAAAGAAAGAAAATGAAAACTCGGGGCGCTGGGTGGCTTAGTCGTTAAGCACCTGCCTTCTGCTCAGGTCATGATCCCAGGGTTCTGGGATCGAGCCCCACATCGGGCTCCCTGCTCGGCGGAGAGCCTGCTTCTCCCTCTCCCACTCCCCCTGCTTGTGTTCCTGCTCTTGCTATCTCTGTCAAATAAATAAATAAAATCTTAAAAAAAAAAGAAAACTCATGGCACCTGAGTGGCTCAGTGGGTTAAGCATCTGCCTTTGGCTCAGGTCATGATCTCAGGGTCCTGGGATGGAGCTCCCTGTCAGGGTCCCTGCTCAGCAGGGAGTCTGCTTCTCCCTCTCCCTCTGCCCTTCCCCCCTACTTGTGTGTGTGCTTTCTCTCTCTCTCAAATAAATAAAATCTTAAAAAAAAAAAAGAAAATGAAAACTCTACACTTGTCTTGATGAACACTGAGTTATGTATGGAATTGTTGAATCACTATATTGTACACCTGAAATGAATATAACACTGTATATTAACTATACTGGAATTAAAATAAAATAATAATAAAAAAGAAACCTCAAGATATGGATTGAGAGAAAAATGTTTGAAATACATATATTTGACAAAGTCTTTATAGTCAGAATATAAAAGAACTTTCACAACTCAGTAATAAGACAACCCAATTTTGGGGCACCTGGGTGGCTCAGTCGTTAGGTGTCTGCCTTCGGCTCCGGTCATGATCTCAGGGTCCTGGGATTGAGCCCCGCATCGGGCTCCCTGCTCCGTGGGAAGCTTGCTTCTCCCTCTCCCACTCTCCCTGCTTGTGTTCCTGCTCTTGCTATCTCTCTCTCTGTCTCTCTCTGTCAAATAAATAAAATCTTAAAAAAAAAAAAAGACAACCCAATTTTTTTAATGAGTGAAAGAGTTGAACAAGCACTTGGCAAAAGAAAATATATAAATGGCTAAAAAGAATATGAAAAGATGTTTAGTATTATTAATAATCAGGAAAATGCAAATTAAAATCAGTGAGATATCACTACCTACCCATTAGAATGGTTAACATTAAAAAGATTGACAATATCATGTGTTGTCAAGGATCCAGAGCAACTGGAACTCTCACATACTGCTTTGGGGAGTATAAAATGATAAACCACTTTGAAAAGCAGCTGGGCAGTTAGAAATACAGTAAAAAATATACAGTATTGGGACCCCTGGGTGGCTCAGTTTATTATAATGGGAAACACGCACTTGCAATAGAAGTAGCAATTCTGTTGCTAGATGTTTATCAGAAAAAAGTGAAAACAAATACCTTCACAAAGACTTCTATATGAACTTTCATCTTAGTCTTATTCATAATTAGCAAAACTAGAAACAAACCAAATGTTCCTAACAGTTGACTGGATAAGCAAATTGTAGAAGAGCCATATAACAGAATACTATTCGGCAATAAAAAGGAATGCATACAACACGGATGAATCTCAAAAATATGTTAAACAGAAGAAGCCAAAAACAAAAGAGTACCTACTGTCTGATTCCATTTCTATGAAATTGTAGAAAAGGCAAAAAACTAAAATGGCAGAAAACAAATCAATGTTTGGTCATGTTAAAACGACTCAGGCAACTTGAATAGGGTCCCGTCCCACCTCCTAAACATAGGACAATATGGTTATCAATGAGCTTAATAATTGCAATGGAATAACACACATCAAATGTGTTTCATAAAACATACACAAAACATAAACACACACGTTGTTTACAAAAATAAGACTATGACAAATTAACAATTGTCAGTGGTGGAAACAAAAATGCTGTTATAATACTGTTTTTAAATATTTTTTT